GTTCAATTGATGACTCAGCCTTCCATGAAAGAGGAGTCCTCTTGTTTACCGGAAGAAACACTTGGATTCATGCCAATATATTTTGTTATTTGCTATTCTGCTGCTTTGTATGATCTTGTCATTCAGAGTGACATTTTATAGATGGACTTCTGGAACTGAAAAAGAGAAAAAGGCTTTGAAGTCTTTTGATTGAATTCATAGGATTTGAGCCCAAGTTTCCTAGGTTCTTACCATATGATCCATGGATTTTCTTTGAACCCAAGTAAACTCTTTTGTTTATTCAGTACTGTTCAGCCTTTAGGTACAGAGGTACATTCACCACTGTCCTTGTTGGAAGGAAGCCAAAGCAATATATAATTATCTCTCCTTTGATTTTTAAATGAGTGGCAAGAAATAACTTAAACTTGAGGAAAGTAGAGAAAATCCTGTTGCTGTGATGATCTCAAAAGCAAATACTTCAGCAGTAGGAATAAAGATGCATCCAAGCTCCTATTCCTTCTTTTTTAAATTCTTACTTTGGTCAAAGTGTCTTAATACTTCCACTGTTGTAAATTCACTAAGAGATTATTAAATGTGACTCTTTCTGTGGGATGCACTGTCATTGGTTAAGCATTTGATAAGCAGCCTTTCTACATTAAATGTTTTATCATGCTTTGTATAACTTAAAAAAACAAACAATATTCAGTACTTCAGCACTATGTGCAGAATAATGAATAGAAGTAACTTGATACACTTAACTTCCCTCTCTTGCTCAAGAATAAATATCCAGTATTATACAGGTAAGAGGTAACTCATATAAAACAAGTTTCCCTTGCTTTTGTAACCTCTCATGCCCCCTAAAAGCCTATCATCATCATCATTACAAGACTGCATTTATATCACACCTTTTTCCCTCTTGTGATAACCCAAGGTAGCTTACATAGTTATCCATTCCATTTTATTCTCACAACAACCCTGTGAGGTAGGTTCACCTGAGAGGCCATGACTGGTCCAAAGTCACTCAATGACCTGGTGATCCCACACCTGAATAACCAGAAAAGCCATGGTGAAGGGTGGATAGCTTAGCACAGACCATTTATTCTCTCTGTGCTTTCAGAAAACTAATCCTACTATGCAGGAATATTGAAACTGGGTCTGGACACTGTAACACATAGTAGTAAGCTTTTACCATGGCATCTTGTATCATGCAAGAGAGTGAATAGTGTAAATTGTTAGGTGAATAGATTAACTTTCAGAAAGCTTGAGTTTTTTCAGTGCAAAATTGGATTTCCTCTTGGATTTCCAGCTCCCATTAAAATATGTCCAGACTATATACAATGTTGTTGTTTCCACACACTACACCTCCTCTGCAGTGCAGTGGATATCGCTATATGCTGCTGGATGATACATAATATAGTGGTAATCAGATCACAATGGGTATTATAAAAATGGAGAAAATGGTCATCAGACCTACTACAGATTAAAATGTTACATATATATTTAGAGATGGATAAGAGGTTCATTCCATCCAATTTTTTATACAGAAATACGAACTTGCTGAACCAGAAGTGAGTGGACCAGAAGAGACCTGTGCACCAAAATCCACACTTTCCCAAATTTAGCACTGTAGTTCATCTGTCAAACTAATGTGTACAGGAATGCACACATCAGAGGAAAGTGTGTACTCAAACCCATATGCTTTTTGTGTTAGGGCAAGTGCACATGAAAAAGTGTACAGATATTAATGTGGACTTTAAAAACTCAAATTCATACATTGATTTGGTGTTGGATGGAATCACACTTAAGATTGGAAATGTTAAAAATGAAACAAAACTGAAACTGACAGATTTGCTCATCACTATATATGACTTAAAATTATATTTTGAAACACAGCACAAGCAAATATTTCACATTTTCACAGTCTTGTGACCAGCTCCACCAGCTTTCTTGGAATATATACAGAGATTTATTTTCGGTGAGATCTAATTTCATGCCAAATGCAAACTTCCTATCCATTGTTCTGGTGTGACAGTTATCCACAAAGTTTTCATAAAAGTGCTGTGTGAAAAGTTGTCGGTGTGTTTTTAACACTCCATTTTTTCAGAATGGCTGAGTGCAGCTTATACCACAGAAATTGGTCTTCTGTGTCCTAAAAATTGCTGGAATATATCCACAAAGATCAATTATGGAAATGCTAGAGAAGTTTGCCAATGGTACAATTGTAAGGGGAGTGACTGTTAATGTAAATTATGAGAGGCGAGGGTGATTTTGCACATATTTATCTTTTTTCCCTGATCGAAGCCATTGTTCTGCTAAGGAAGTATGCCAAACTGAAATGAAAGCCCAATATTGTGCAGAGTGATAATTCAGAACATAATATATAGTTCCACCCTGGAACTGTATGTATGCCTACTAGTATATATTTATACACTGAAATTTCCTTGATTATTTTTCCAAGATAAATTGTTGATTATATCCCAGCCCTGTTTCTAGAACAGTTAGTGCCAGTAAACCCTGTGCTCCATTATACTACAGAAGTATTAATGTAACATTACTGATATTTTTGTTTTTGTTTGTATCTCAAATCTATTAAGGCACAATAAAAACCATAGGCTGAGTGGGGAAGACAGAATGGTTAAAACCTGAATGTCACAGTCAATATTAACAGGTTTTGAATCAGAAAGATTGGGAATGATTATGCTGAAAAAAGCAAATCCTAGAAAACAAGATCTTACAGTTTGCTAGCACAGCTGGAATTGTCTTTTCATCCTCCCTGTGTCCATTAAATCTACTCTAGAAGGTCACTCATCTTTAGAAGAATATATAAAAAGCTCTGGCAGGAGAGGAAACTAAGCTACCAGTGGTGTCTATTCTGCTGATGAAAAGGTGCCACAGGTACAACCCAGAGAAACTCAGTTATAAATGATTTGACTGAACAGAACATGGATTGTGTTTTCAGAAGAACAGCACCTCTCAGAAAAATCAGCCATTGCAACTTCATTAATAGTAATTGCTAACAAGTGCTTTAAATGATCACCGTATGTCATGAAAAATAGGTCCATGCTGGAACTTGTTATGTTTTATGCTATTTCATGACTGAAATCCAAAAGAAACTGATACACACTGGAAGTTCATGCCAGTAATCATGTCTGTAACTCCAAGTATTCAAAATCTTTTTTAAAAAGCCAAAATTAACTTTTCTAGATGCTGGAAAGGAGCAATTTAACATGTTCTGCTTAATCTAAAAAAAAGGGAATTTATACCTACAGTATGTACAGGTGGAGCCTGACTACTGGATTCTGCTAGGAAGACTGATAATTGCCTGCAATGGGGGTAAATTGTCTGTCTAGTATAGAAGTCTCCTTGGGAAGCTTGTGCTTCTAGGTCTATTGCACAGCTTGGATCTTTGAGCCTCACATTGTATGGTCTTACAAACTGTCTTTGAGAAATGGATTTTTCTCTATTTGAAAGAAGCAGTTCTGAACATAACAAACAACACTAGCATCAATGTAAAACTAATACAAAGTTCAGAACCTTCTACTTTAGAAGTTTGAGAGGTCTCATTAGCTGACTGATTAAAGCACCTTAGGGGCTTTTCTATATTTCAGGCTTGTTATTCTCATTGTTTACAGGTTCGTTGGATGACATTGTGACCTTCTGCTTTTATTTTTTGTGTCTAACCAGCACTGTTGGCAAGTTTAGGAGCAAAAAAGTCTTAGAATTGGGCATAAGCAAATGCCCTAGCAATTAGGGATAAATAAATCTTCCCATTTTACTTTCTCTCCTTTTATTTAAAATCTCAAGTTCTTCCTCTCCTGTTCATGAAGCCATTTGCAAATACTGAGCCAGTGTGGTGTAATGGGTAAGACTGCAGGAATGGGACTCAGGAGATCTGGCTTCCAGTCCACCCTTAGCCATGAAGCCCACTGGGTGACTTTGGGCCTGTCACTGCCTCTCAGCCTAAGCTACTTCACGGTGTGGTCATTGTGAGGATAAAATGGAGATGAGCAAATCTTTGTAAGCCACTTTCAGTTCCTTGCATAGGAAGGAAAGGCAGAATATAATACAATGCAATAATGATAACGACAATAATAATGGTCCTGCACAGAAATGAACCAAATGAAATTCTCACCCCTCTCCTCCAGCCAATTTTGTTGGCTACAGTTATTTCCAGCATTGAAGAAGATCATGTTCAGCTCTGTGCCATGCAGCTATTAAAAATGGGAAACCAATCAGAAAAAAAGAGATGGTGACCCAAGTTCACTACTATAAAAATGGTTGAATATGTAGGGACCCAAAAAGCTAAGGACTGAAAGCCCTCTGCCAGGATAGATGAATCAGTTGATTTTGCATTCTCCAACTCCTTCTTATTGTTATTGTTATTATTCTAATCTCAAGTTCTTATTACTTAAGTGAGAAGGTTTGGATTGTTTTTTTCTTAAAAGACTTTCTACGGAGCATTATATTCATTTTGTAGGATTGCACCTGACCTTAAAATTGAGTAAGGATGCTACCCTGCAACCCTGTTGTTATCAGGGTGGAGGGCATAGCACGGAAAGAAATATGTCAGGTGCCTCTCGGAAGACACAACTGGGCCATGGAGAAGGGAAAAGGGGTTCATGGGGGGAGGAGGCACAAGGAAGGGAGGAGGCTGGGATGGACCACTCATGCCACATCTCCTTCCCTCTTCCCCCTGACACTTGATCAAGATGGCTGAAAATGGCTGTCTAGCGAAAAGACATAGAGTGCTATTGCTGCAGGTCACTTTGTGCATTGGATGAACAGAATCCTCTTGGTCATCTGAGTCAGAGGCACTGGCCCACACGCCACGTTAGTCCATTGATTCCGTTGACTAAAGCAGTTGAGGAGATACCTGAGCTGCACTGGACTTTTGTGTGAATAGATATCCAAGTGATTATACAGCTTACACTTTCTCTAAAGTACCATTTAAATTGTGTTGCTCTTCACGGTTCTCATTCCTGGGGGAAAAAAAACATTTTTGTTTGCATTCTTTTCTCCAGATCCTCCACATGATCCATGGGCTGGAAGAAAATGTTTGGGACCATCTCCAGTTGCTCCAGTCTCCTGTTTATTGCACTCCGTTGAACTCTTCTAAATTTGTGCCATGTTCTATGGTACATCTTCATAATATACAATGTGCCATGAGCTGTTCTTGACTTGGATAATTCGCCACACTTCTCACTCCATCAAAGAGAAGCGCAGTGGTCTATGGTGGATTCAGCACGCTTGAGCAACCAAATACAGCACCCTGGGCTTATTCTCAAAGGTAGGATCATTGAAGGCAACTGAAAAGAATGGATATGAATTTATTAGAAGTTTGAAGGATTATTAACATTATGTATCCCAAAACTGAAGAATTTCCAGAGCTAAAATATATATTTAAGTTTTTCAGTAAATATGGAGGATTGTTCATTCTGCTGCAGAATTGCCTTTAAGTGTGCTTCCCTTAGAACATCACACTGTATTATAGATCAGTTATGATAATCCAGTGTAATGATACTTAACGTTCATTTATACTGCATAATTTCAGGGCTACAGCTCCACCTGAACTCTAGCTATTTTCCCACTTGCTTCATTGTAATTGGCTCAGATGTATTCCAGGCTGCTGGCCAGACCCTGCAAGGGGGAAGAGGGTGCTTGGGGGTGATTGTGTCAACCACCTGGGCCATCTCTGTATTCCACAAGAAACTGGGCTACAACAGGAGTGCCAGTCATGGCAACCAGAAATTCCCCCACAGGCCTCTGGAATCCATCAAGATCCATTCATCTCTGGGGGCAGACCAACTTAATGGGGTCCTCACTCTTGTGAAGGTGAAAAGGGATCAAGAGTCCAAAGCTCAAGAGGAAGTGATCTAAACATGACAAGGAGGTTGTTGTCAGACCCCCTACTACCAGATCACCATCTTCCTGCCTAGTCAAGAAAACCACATCCAGAGTGTGTCCTTCTTCATGTGTTGGGTTGGTGACATGTTGAGACAGTCCCATGGTTGTCATGGCTGCCATGATGTCTTGACCTGCCCCAAGTTTATTAAGCTTGTCTTTCCTAAAAGTTGGGCTTTAACAAACCCCAACCACTTTTTTCTAACACGTTCTTAGGAAAACTTTTCTGTCATCTCCAAGCACTATTGCCAATATCTTTAAAAGAACCATTAATGTAGCAATCATTTATCCTCAAGTATCCAATCAGTTTTTAGCTTAGACCACCTTTACAATTTGTTTAGATTAGACAGATAACTATAGAACATTCTTTGACACTTGCTTTTTAACACATCCAAGCAGATCAAGAACAGGTTGTAAACTAGGAATACATACTTCAGCAGTCAACATTTTAATTGTAACGTAGTAAACATATGCATTTCCATATGTGAGAAATTGATAAGGGAATTTGGTGTGATCCTACATCATAAGATAGCACCTGGAAAACACATTAATTAGCAAACATGTTGTAAACAGCACTAACTCATATCTTCTTCAAGTACTGTTTTATGCAAAAGAAACACTATAATTTCCCCCATACACACACACACAAAGCAGCATAACCCCCCCCCAGAACAAAACTCATGACTTTGAGCCTTTAAGAGCACTTTACGAAAGTTATTCTTAGAAGCTGAATATTCAGAAAAAGATTAAATTAATAACTTTTTCACACAATGTATTGTTAAATTTTAGGATTCCTCACTGATGCAGTGAGGGCCACCAGCCTGAATGGCTTTAAAATGAGGCAAATTCATTACGACCATCTATAGCTGCTAGACATGGAAATGATATCTCATCTCCAGTATCACATGCAGTATACCTCTGCATGCCAGATGCTGGGGAGCATAGACTGTAGAGTGCCATTGCCATCAAATCTACTCCCCCCCCCCCCCGCAAGTATCCGGCTGAGCACTGTGTAAACAGCTTGGGTGGCAGTGGGGGCTACAGAAGTCTTGTGTTTGCTTTAGTGCAGCTCTCCTAATGTTCTTATTCCTTGGAACAGCACATTCTGGTTATGTCACCTTATAATCTGAAGGGTGAGGTTATTCAGTTTGAATATATAAAGCTGCCACATTCAACATCACATCACTTGTCAATCTAGCCCAATGGCCAGCAGTTCTGAAAGGACATTCCCAGCCCAGTTCTCCAGTCTTTTCAAAAGGAGATTTAGCCAAGGCTTGAACCAGGAATGATCTGCCTGTAAAGCTGTCCTTGAAACTGTGGCTCCTCTCCTGCAGTACTTTATATAATTGAATGTGTAGTGCCATGCTTCAGATTCATAAGCACCTTACTCGACATCATCCAGAGTCTTTGGTTTGACTTCATTTCTTTTTCTTTTTTTAAGCCTTGGTACTGCTTGGTACATGCTGTAGGCTTTGTTCAGTAGAAAGCAAAGTGGCCATTAAAACTAATGACCATGTGTTTGTCTCTCCTTATTTATGTTTACAGTTATGGATTTGGAAACAAATCTTAGCTGACTTTTCCAAAGCTAAAAAAGCACTGCTTGTGAATAGTTGATTTAGGAAATGGCCTGGGTTTCCACACTTACACCTTTAATCGTAGTGTCATTACTGCTTCTGCAAATGTTGCAGTTGTCTGGAAAGGTCAATAAACTCTGAAAAATAAACAATACATGGCACGGTAGATGCTCAAAAGTAATTGTATAGAAGATTTTGGCGTTACCTACTTGTTTAGCCACATAATTACTATGCTGCATAGATCATCCAAGTAATTGACTTGACTTCAGGCCAATAATTAATAATCCATGTCCACATCTTTTAATTTCCTTCTGAAGCTGAACCCTTTCATCGGGTATGTTACCTATTCATTTCCTGCAGCAACATTTCTCTAGGGTCCAGTTAGCAGTCCTTGAGAGCATCAAGATGAGAGCAGGGCACTGCTTGCCAAAACTTTCATTTGCCCAGTTGGTACATTGAGGAGCTATCAGATGGCTAGGCAAGGTGCCTGCCTCATTGATTTCAGCAGGAGTAATGCAATACTGTGCTTAACTCAGCCATTAATCCATGTCTTTAAAGGTGGTTAACTTTGCATGGATTGTATTCTTCATTTGCAATCATTTAGGTGAGATGTGAATTCTGCTGATATTTACTATTAGGCTAAAGGAGTGTGTCACGTACAAGTTACAGAATTGATTTTTGAAAGCAGTTATATTCAAATTATGTGAGTTCATTAGCAGGAGTCTAGGCTTTATTATTAAAGATAAGAGAAAGGTAATTGGTTTGCATGCAGAGTGAGCTGACAAAACCTTTGTTTGAAGCCCTAAAATCAATGTAGACAACATGGGCCTGGCTCTGTGTCTGAGTGAGGACCAGAACCTGGAGCTCCCAGATTCCCAGTCCTGCGCTCTTAACCACCACACCACACCACTGGTATGTAGTCCCAAAAATTGACAGTTACACTTTGACTGGTTTATGATGTAGCTAAACATTCTTTAAAAATAGCCACTAAGATGGGAACTTTAAACTGTTCATATAATACACTGGTACCTTGTCTCACGAACGCCTTGGTTCACGACTAAATCGGGTTGCGAACAAAAATGTCATGAAAATTTTGATGTGGGTCGTGAACTCCACATTGGATGGCGTCCAAGATCGCAGCCATCTCCCCCACTCCTGAGTGGGGAGATGGCCACGATCACAGTTGCGTTCGTGCAGGGAAGATGTGTATGACCATGGGTGCACTCTTGCAGGAAAGACGGGCACAATCTCAACCATCCCCTCCCCCGCAACCAGCACGATCGCAGCCATCTCCCCACCCCACCCCCGAGTGGGGACATGACCGCGATCGTGCTGGGGACGGAGGTGGGGAGAGGGCTGAAATCGCACCCATCTTCCCTCCCGTTCACTCCTTTCTCTCCCTCCCCCAGCACGCCCCGTTCGTGCCCGTCTCTCCCTTCCCCAGCGCACCTGCGATCACACCTGTCTCTCCCTCCCCCAGCGCACCAGAATAATGGGGGCATGCAGGGATGATGGGCACATGTAGGGATGACAGGCGCAATCTCGGGCGTGCTGTGGGGGTGGGGGGATGGCCATGCTGTGCTTTGGGGGGTGGGGGAGATGGCCACGGTCTTTGTTGTTCTTTGTCACTTTGCTTCACAGTTTTATGATTTTAAAAAAATGGTTACAGAATGGATTAATCTTATTTACACTGAACCTTATGGGGAAATTTTATTTGGCTCATGACCAATTTGGGTCACGACTAAAATCTTGGAATGGATTAAGTTCGTGAACCAAGGTACCACTGTACATAGATCACATGTAAAAGTGTCGTGTGGCTATTATTTTTCCTTTCTGGAATTTATGTCCCCACTAGAAGTACTAAGTTTTGAACCAACAATAGGTTCAAATACCCTAAATGATGCTGTTGCTGTGAAGATAAGCAAATGTACCAGTCTTACCTTTACCTTCTTTAAAGCCTCTTCTCCCTAAAAAGAGAAAATGACATAAGAAACTTGCAGGAAGGATTTCTCTATTATTTGTCGCTGCCTGTGGCTAAAATTCCAAATGGCAATTTGTACATGTCTGAAAATGAGTCTGTTCAATTGTATCTACTGTGTTAACTTTTAAAGTTAAATGATACCCAATTATTATGTGCCTTTCTTTGCAATTCACATGCAAAGCAATTGCCCTATGCTTGCAACTCATGACAACTGGCAAACCAATGCACTGTGTCAGTTCTATGAAATTTGAACATATTAATTCCCTTAGAAGGTAGAAGGAGAGAGAGAGAAGAGCAAATAGGAACCATTAAAAATCTGATTTGCTATCTAGTCTGAACAACACTGAATTTATTTGCCCAGGAGGAGTTTATTTTAATGTGTTTGGCCTGAAGTTACTTGCAACTGTGGTGGGATGGAAATGAGAAAAAAAAAACTTTCATGCTAATTTTCCATTACCCTAATGGTGAAAATATTAAATTGGTTATTATGGAATGGCTCTGGAATGAAAAACGTTGTGTGCTGAAATCTAGGGACCTATATCTGTTCATTCCTGCCTGCGAATGTCATTAAGATCTCTGGTGAGGTAAACAGACTGGCAAACATTTCTTCAATAATAGCAGGCTGGCAGCTGTGGGAGAACAAGATTATGGAGGGTCACAGACATTGTTATATAGTACACATTAGTTTTAACAGATTGCACCCCATGACATATGTATTGTTTTTGTAGTGCTTGGCAGTGCTTAAACTCTTCGGGATACTATGAGACATGCTAATTGCAGTATTAAGAGATCTCTTGCTGGTCACATTTAGTCATTTTAGGTCACGTTGTG